TGTTGGGTATTATGGTTTGATTATATATTCGTGTTGAGAATTGTGCCTCGTGATGTGTGTGGTTAATGAAAACCATTTGCGAAAACCGGGTAATGAATCCCCGTAGGCCCACATAAGACTTGGGTTATGAAAATGTTGTTTAACACCCATTGAATCCTCGAAAATAATTTTAAAAATTTTACATTGATTTTTGGAAAGTCCAAAATTTCTTTAAAATCAAAGTGGGGTGTTACAATGTATGTAGGTAATCTTACCCGGCGGTTGAGTTATCCCTTTCGTGGTCCAGTTTATGATGACTCGGTCTTGTATGGAAGGTTTTCCCATCCTGAGTCACTCACCCGGTTTTGAACGGTAGTTATTTCCATCCTGGGTTTCTGAAGAAGACGACCCCCAGAATGTGATCACATGATAATCCAGCCAGTTTCCGGATGTTGCACCAGTACAATACAATTTTATTTATGTATATGCTGAGTTCATGATATTTGATTACATGTGTTGTATATTCAGTTTTGGTTCCTGCGGAGCATGGTGATTTAGTGCTCACACCCCCACTATTTATCTTTTTAGGTGATGGAGTACAGCCCGGTGCGTGAGCCGAGCAGTGATGTGGTGGTGTCCGACAACAGATGGACATTCATTATGTTTATGTTTATGTTTATGTTGGCATGTAATAAGATAATTTCGTACTCTACTGTACTTTATTTACGCTTCCGTACTGCCAACTCAGAACCAGTATGCATGCATGTTTAATTCTCTTTATCCATATTCCCCAGCTGGATTATATATGTCGATTGTGTTAGCATAAGTAAAAGAAAGAGCAATAAGTCAAGTCAGTAAGTAAGTAGCATCCCGCAAGTCAGTTAAGTTCAAATATTTTTCGAAACCAGTCCCAGTATTTTTCGAAAACAACCGAAAAAAAATTTACCCAGTTTTTCGTGAGTCCAGTTAGATCAGGCGGGGTGTTACAACTAAAATGTTAAAATTGAATTAAATAAGTCGAACATTTGAAAAATAAGTTGAACAGACCAAAATGTTGTCCCAAACTGAATAAAAATCGAACCGATTACTTGGTTCATTCCGTCGGTTAAACTAGTTAACCAAATAACCGAAGTAAATTATAGTTTACATTATAAAAACACATATTGGATTTTAATATTTTTGTTTAATAATTTATATTTATATTTTTGTCCAAAAAAATAATATTTATATAAGAATTTTAAAATATTATTTTTATATAATTTTGTAATTCGGTTATTTGGTTATTTTAAAAGTAATGACAAACAAAAAAAATAATTATCCTAATTTTTAAAAGTAAATATCCGAGTTGCAAACTGAAATTAAACTTCAATCACAATTGTGCAATATGTCATTCACTATTGTGCATATTTTTATTCGATTTGTTAACTGGAATTTAATCAAATATTTGAAATAATTTATTATGCACGTTATAAAAAATATAGGTAGTATTTTAATGCATCTACTTTAATATTAGTATTGTCATATGTACTAAAAAATAAATAAAAAAAACATGCATATACAGTTCGACCGTTTTGATTATTTTGAAAATAAATAGGAAAATAAAACAAACTAATCAAAATTTTAAATATAAAATAGATAATCTAACAAAAATATAATAAATTGAATAAAAAAATTTATCTCAGTCGACTTGGTTGCTATTGTGCATTATGTTAGACTTTAATATGCAATACGTATAACAGTATCGTGCACGAATTCATTCGCTTTTGTGCGCCTGAAACCAATGAAACCTTTGTCCCAAACTAAACTGAAATCTAACTGAATTATATGATGTATTCGATTGTTTAACCGAATTGACCAAAAATAACAAAAAAAATATATATTATTTCTATTATAAAAGCATATGCGGAATCAATCAAATCGAAGAAAGTAATTCAGCACGATGTAATGATGGTTTTATGGCTTCGACCATACAAACACTCTACAAAGATTTAGTACTTTAATATATTTATTTAATATTATAGATATGTTTTGTTCGTTGAAAATAAATATTATTTTATATAAAATAATAATATTTTTATATGTAGTTCGGTTATTTTAAAAAGATTAAATGCTGACATCGATTTGAAATTTTAAAAATAAAGAAAGCTAATCAAACCGAAATTTAAAATTTCAGACTGAATTTTTTAGTTCGGTCCGTTTCGGTTGCTATTGTGCAATCTTGTAATCATTAACGTGCAATTCGTTTAACTATGTTGTGCAGTTTTTATTTTTCACGCTTTAGTCATGGCACAAATGCACTGTTTGCCATAAAATTCTTTATCACATTCATTAAAGTGCAACTTGTATAACAATAAGGTGCAATCTAAATACAATACCGTGGAACGCATTGACTATTAATGTGCAACTATCAAATTTTAATAGTCTACACATTTAACCCCAGGAATTAAATTTTAATATAAAATAAGTCCCTTGATTATATTTAATTAAAAAAAAGTCCTCTCTCTAATTTCGGATCCCGTAATTCCTATGTTCCTGGTTCCAATTCTCCGGCTTAGGCGGACGGCGCCGGCATCGGGAGGGCGGAGATGGCTGCGGGGGAGGGCGGAGATGGCGGCTGTGAGGGCAGAGATAGCCGCCTTGTCGGATCATCTGCCGATATTTGGAAGGAGATGGCAACGGAAATGTGCAGCGACAGATTTTGTCGAGACCGAGGTGGAAGATAACGGTAGCAGCAGCGGGATTTGGACGATGGCCATGAGTGGCGCCGATGAGGAGTGGTCGCACCGCCATGTCAGACGACGCAATGGTCGTTGAGCTATTGGTGGGGCTCCACCACGTGACGCCACCTCTAATCGAGCGGGTCCGGATGATGACAAAGACGGCGGGACTGGCGGCGCGAATGAGAAACACGGGCGGCGGCTGAGGGTTTAGCGGCGGTGAAAATTTCAGAAAAACGCGAGCGGCGGCAAAAATCTCAGAAATACGAGCGGCAGTGTCGGGTAGTTCAGTGACGTCGGCGGGTGGTTAAGTGGAGGAGGCGTTCGGGGTTTAGCATCGGCGACAGCGAATTTGGCAGCGGTTGGGTTGAAATTTCAGAGATCGGTGCAGTATAGATCGAGAGAGAAGAGTGGAAGAAAAAGAGGGAGATGTGTTAGTGGGGGGTGGGACCCACATGTTTGTGGGATAGGTGATGATTTGGCTGAGATAGAGGAAACGTCCGTAATGCCCTTAATAAGCCTTCAATAAGTGTTAAATTTTGAACTTTTTTTGCCGTTGGATGTTGGAATCGTATGGCTAAGATTTATTCTTATTTCTCTCCCTAAGCACCATTCTCACCAGAGCGCGACCCTATATATTTGTATCTATATATAATATTTCAAGTAAACACAAATATTTTTAATGAAAAATCACATGCATTAGATTGTGAACATTGAATACTATAGAAATTTTATTATTTCATAACTCTGCACCCACACATAATATACTCCCTTGATTTTATTCAATTCTCATAGTACAAAACAAAATTGGTTTCACAAAGAAACCAAAGACAATTACCTGATATCTTTCCCAATTTTACAGTTAAAATATTTATTTGTATGTATGCTAATAAAAAAGCACACACTTTACACATTCACAAGCGGTGCGAAGTAGTCTTGTTAATGCAACTACACAATAAATTATGTTCTTATATTCTATGTGCAAAAAGATTTGACTGGCATATAAACCGAAATCTTAATCAAAAAAGGATGAGAACAACAAAGCTTCAGGAATACAGAAAAAACCACTTGTCATTGCTGCTAAGCTGCAGGCTTTGAGTCCCAAGTACAACTCACTCATGTACCACATCCACATACATTTGCCCTCCAATTTTTTTTTTTTTATTTTTCGTGTTCTTCGATATGAAAATAAATTTAAGAGCAAATTTGCCTATAAACAAATTTGTTTCAACACAATTCATTTTAACATGTTAATAATGGGGGAAAAGAAGAAGAAGAAGAAAGAGGCATTCATCTTTAAATATTACAAATGCATTTCTAATATATGTTTCTACTTTACACCTTTCAAGATTTACAAATGAAGTTTGTATATCATAATTGTATACATCCCAAAAGATAACTAAATATGTGTAAGAAGGCTAAACTTAATCGTTCTTGTAATTCAACCCTACATTATAATGGCACATCTGCTAGCAATTTCTAAAGTAGAATTCAGAGATGTTACAACTTTCAGATTTGTAAGAATATTCAGGAAATAGTACTTGCCAGACAATGAAATCGAGGCTCTATTGATTCTCTTATGATACTTCAAAATGCATAATCTGAAGTCAGTACTGAGCTTATGGCGGCCAGAACACCATACCTCATGAGCTTATAGCTTTCCATGCTCATGTATGTGTCTTCCATTTCAATGGCCGAGCAACGCCTTGGTTCCATATTGCGTTCCCAGAGCTTCAACATTTGTGGACCAAACATGTTGACTACCCTAATAGGTTCCTAAACAGTAGTCATATAAGGGCATCTTAGAGAATATTTACAATGATAAACAAACATCAATTTTTTATTTATTTATTTACTTACCGTTAAAAGGAGAGCGCAGGGGAAACAAATGTGAAGTCCTGCAAAAAAAGTTTACTGATCTGAACAGATAAAAATGACAACCACAGGCTTACCAGTGATCTAAATTACCAGAGAAAACACATTAACATGCTAAGAAGCCCTTACTATTTACCAAGCAGTTTATAACCAAAATCAAGAATCGAAAATAATCGCAACCAACCAGATACAATGTAACAGAACTTTCTCAAACCCTAAAGCCCAAAATCCATAAATATAGCATTTGTAAGGTGACCTGAAATGGGATAGAGGCAAGACAGATTCTCCAGTTTCACCATGAGTCATCAGTCTCCTTTTACGTAACTCTTCAGCCAATTTATGCCTAAACCCGTCATTATTTTACATCCTTCACGAACAATAACGATTTTATATTTTCACCATATCCACAAGAACCACATAAACATGCACAAAGCACAGTCAAAGTGCATATGAAGAGAAAGAACCATTTTTTACCCACTTCTTCTGCTCCGCCGCCACCACGAACTCGTCGTCCCCGTCATCCAACGATAGCGCTACCCCCATCTTCTCCACTATGAACACCATGTCCATTCTCTGCTCCGTGTAGGTCGGCCACCCGATCATCGGCATCCCGCGCATAACAGCCTCTAGGATGGAGCTCCAACCGCAGTGGGTCACGAATCCGACCGCCACATGTTCCAGCACCACTCTATGTAGGGCCAATGACTTTATCACGAAAATCTTGCCCTTAATCCTCCCCAGAAACCCCTTCGACAGACATTTGCAGATCAAACACATAAATATTTCTCAACCAAATAAAAAATGGAGGCAAGAATCAAAATTCATTAATTACACTAACCAATTGACAATTGCAATTTTCACATCAAAACCAAAAAAAAAAAAAAAAAATTATAAAACAATAAATTTACCCTGAGGAACCCGCCGTACTTTATCATTTGCCGGAATTCGTTGAAGTTGACCCTCCGTCGCCACTTAAGTCGACCCTGACAATCTATCTTCGGTACTCATCGTCGTCTTCACCCACTTCTGCCCCAGCACCGCCAGCACCAATCTCAGCTCATCCGACATGATGAACCCGCCCTGTCCCAAAAGAAAACCTTAAACACCTCCCGCATGTTCTCTTCACTGTCAAACCCCTCGTCGCCTCCGCTATCTGCCATCACCGCCGCGTATAGAGCGCTGAATCCCTCGGCGTCAATCTTCGCTACCATCGCCCGCAGCTTGTCCTCCAGCACGCATATTCCGAGATTCACTATCGACTCGCTGAGCTCATCCCGGCTGATGTTGTCGTCGCCGTTCATCGAGCTTGGAGAGAACCCGATGGATCTCCACTGTGCCGGTCTTCTCATGTGCAGCCCTAATGCGAGAATTGGTTAGATTTGATTTTGATGGTCATTTTCCAGCCACCAATTTTGGGAGAGACGGGGAAAATTATGGATTTGATTTTGATCGGTATTTTCACCCTATGATAATAATTTATTGCAAGATAAATTGGATAATCTCAAATATACGTATGCCAAAATAAATCTGCCGGAAGAGATTTTAAATAATCTGGAATATACGCATTCTAAATTAAATTTGCAGTAAATAATATAATATTGACATTATACGACAATAAATAATAGTAATATACATTTAATATTTATCATTATATATGAAGGAACATTACTTCTATAAATGTTATAAATAATATTGACATTATACGACAATAAATTTTTGAATAAAATAATATTTGAGAATTAGGATGAACCAAAATATGTAAAATTATTATTATTTATATTAAAAAATAAATATATATGTTAAAATATTATTTATATTAATATAAACGGATCAACGGACTAATACATTGTTAAACTAAAGTTTTGCAAAAAAAAAAATAAGTTACGAAATCTCCGTACATCGCACGGGATTCTCACTAGTTATATACTAATATATAAAAAACAATATTGGATAATATGATTTTAGTAAGTTAATTAAATTGAACAAATAAATTGGTTAACTTACTAATTTAATATTTTTATAAG